CCCTTATGGTTTCTGAACAGAAAGGCGTTTTCGAAATTTTGCCGATAAAATGGCAACAAAATTTCTTGTTATTTTTTTTCGAAAATTAATTCATGCGCGCGTCGATGTCACCCATAAAACTATTTGCTTTGGCCTTAGAAAGACAATGTTAACAATCAATGGTGACTTTATTTATCAATAACTGCAAATAAGATAGGCATGGTAACTAACTTGTACAACAATAAATGACTTTAAACCTCCGATACATATTTAGGGTTATTATGAATTTCTTGTCGTATTCTTTTTTCTGAATTTTTCGATGATTATGTGTAATGTATTCTCCCTTTGGCTTCTTGATACTTTGATAGTTCCTTTATACTTCCATGAAATGAATATATTATATAGCAGGAAACTGAAGACAGGGAATGAGGTCACGTTTGTACCATTTCAACTTCCAATTTGACCTTCCTGTCAGTCTGCAGTTACACCACTTCCCCTTGTTCCACGTCACTTCATTGCATGGGCACACAGACAAACAGACAAAGCGACAAACACAATGGAAATAAAACAGTAAATTTTTGTTTCTTTTGGTAATTGTCAAGGTGAAGAAATATTATGAACAGTTTTTTTTTACTACACAAATATTATCATAATTCGATTGTTTACGTACGGTTACATCACTGTCGTATGTTTCCCTCTATTTGGTTGGATAGAAAGAGGGAGAGAAACGGTTGAGAGAGGGGATAGTGTTTCCAAGTGACTTGATGTTTGCCATTGCCATTGAGCTACTTTAGCGATCAAGCCTTTAACAGAAAATACATATACACACTTCCATCTAGACTCATCTATAGCTACAGATCAACGAGAATTCAACACTTTTAAAGGCATCCAATGTAATTTCAGGACGACAAAACTAGATTTTCAAAGTCAATGTTCTGGTAATTCTTTTAATGTAGTACGTTAAAACAATCCTAACCTATAGCACACTGATATCTATGAGGCAAAATACGATGTCATGGACGGAAAACGGTTGCTTTTTACGTAGGCTGGTGTTAGATATTTATGGGTGGTACCCTAAATATAGGGTACCTTGTTTGGAGGTTATTTCAAACGCTTCATGTATGAAATGATGACAAAAATGTGCGAACTGGCAAAAATGAAATGACAGTAAATGTCTCATGTCTGTATCAGATAGATTTCCTCACCGCTAAAAATATTATTTTCTTTGCCGCCCTGAAATTGCAATGGATGCCTTTAACTTTCTCCCTTTAAACCACCATCTGTCGTGCGTAACGATGTTTTAATGGGGAGGGGGAGGGGGGCGTGTTTGTTGCTAGTTTGAGTAAAACGCCTCCACTTAAAACGCGTGTAATGAGGCGTGTGCAGACGGATGGAGACATTATACAGCTCGTTCCGACAGTTTTTCACTTCACATCACTCTCGCCGTGCGATCAAAGCTCAGCGCTCGGGCGGGAGGCCGCGGGGCGCCCGGGAGCAGGTGAACAGGCGACCCGATCGTTTCCTAATTGGGATACGGGCTCAGTGGGGAATAAGGACGAGACAATATAGCGACACGCCGTTAGGAAGGAACAGATACAGGAAATATCCCAGAAGGAGGAAAATTATACACAGTTCTTAAACACTCAAGCAACGGCTTACTTAACAATTGACACGTATTGTTGGGGTACTGTTACCTTTGTCGAACGGCACCAAATTCACGTAGAGAATTCTTTAGAATCTTTTATGTGTTGTGTGAAATTTAGTAGCTGTCTTGTAACAGAAAAGGTTGTCGTAGACACGTATTGGGGGTTAGTTCTTTCATGGTGTCGCTAAAGATTTTGCAACAGATAAAATATTTCATTTTTTACCTCGTCTTATTGTAAGATATCCAAAGCAATTTCAAGGCAGTGAAACCTAATTTTCAAAGCCAATATTCTTGACATTTTTTCATACAGTTAGTCATTTTTATAACATAGTACTTAAGTTGAATCAACCCTATCCCATGGCATACTGATAACTGTGAGGCAAAATGCGATGTCACTGATGGAAAACGGCGATTGCTTGTTTCGTATTGTAGGCCGGTTCTAGCTATTTATTGGTGGTACCCAAAAATACAGGGGATGCTGACAGCTTGTTTCCTAGCTATATTTCAAACGCTTCAAGCTCTAGGATGAAATCATGAGGAAAATGTGCTAAGAAATGTGAGTAAATGACAGCATCAGACAAATTTCCTCATCCAGAATATTGTTGTTGTTGTTTTTTTGTTTCATTTGCCGCCCTGAAATCTGGACCGGATGGAGCATACATGTATAATGTCAAAGAGAAAGAAGTCACCAGGTGGGACATCACTCTCAGTAAAAACGTTTAAGACAGAGAAAGTCTAAAAGCGAGGAGTTTTAACGTAAATATCCCGTTAGATCCCCCGGCACCACACCGGGGCACCGTACACAAGCACGCGCCTACGCCTGACACTGACGCCCGCCAGATCGGCTTTTGACGTACGGCGTTTCCTCGGACTGAGATCATTGTAGGCTGGTCCTGTAGCGTACGTAGTCCAGTGGTCACTGGCCCTGCCTCTGGACTAGGAGGTTGGGAGTTCGAATCCCGGCTGATGTCGCTCACCCGACATGCACGCTACTGTTTATCTATTATGTCAATCCTTCCTCAAATGTGGTAAATCTTCATAAATTATAAATCATGATTTTGTAAAACAAAGAAAACGTTAAATTTTGACTGGTAACATTATGATTGTTTCCCTCCTTTATAGAACTAAGAAATACAGACAAATTCACATTTCTATTAAGCCTTATAAAACATGTCTGTTCTTACCTTTTCACCATCACAGAGAAGCGAAAAGAAGAAGTCCAATTTAATTATACTCTATAGTACTGGTGCTTGGTTGATAATGTGTGTGGCATTGTACACGTGTTTATACAAGCTATTACTTTGCTGTGACCAATACAAAATTCATTCATTCAGAATTAAAATATGATCCATGATAAAAAAAAAAGTGGGATTCGGAAGAGGTCAAAACCATATGAAACTTACAAAATGCTCTTCTTAATCGAATGAAATTAGATCAAGTTACCAATGGTGGTTTTAGTGGTCAGTTGGTCCCCGTCTAATTGAAAAAGTTGTTGTCCTTAAAATATATTTTGGATGCTGTAATTCGTGATCATTCATAATTTTTAATATTACTATTAGTATTACTTATCTAACTTAAAGTTGTTTTCCTTCTATTGCAACTCATACTTTACAAACATATGGAATAGGACTTAATTTTGTTATGTTTACCGAAGGAAAACACAATGTTTTTGCTACATTTCTTCTTCTTCTTCTTCTTCCGTTCCAAACACTGACCTCTGACCTGGCCAATGACCCGACTTGTTGACGTCTGTCACCATGGTAACTGGTGTTGGGTTACATAATGTTGCAATTTTATCAGTAGGATGGATTTATACTCCGTTCTGACCATTTATATAAATGAATGTATTTGAGTAAGAATTAACAGAGCAGACTATATGTGAAGGTAAACATTATGCATTTGCCTTGCAAATGTTACCTTTCTAGTTTGTGTATGTATTTAGGTTTTGTTCTGTATTGTCTATAATTATGGACCAGTGAGTGCCCGAAACAAAAATGATAATGATAAAAATAAAAATAATTTGAACTACCTTCGCCCGGCTTTTAACTGTTCTTAAGGCCATTTGAATTACTTTGTGATTTGTCTTTCAACACATCTCGCACTTATATTGTTTATACCCCAGTTAAACACTTTTTCGTCCACAAGATCAAAAATACAGAGATTTTTTAAAATAAATTGCTCTAAAAATGCCACATTAATATTCAACATATGCAAGGCGAGTCAAGGAGTATTAGAAAAAAAGAGAGAAAGATTCGTTCTTTTTTTAAAACCTCGACATTTTACTCATGATCTGGCGCGTGTCTCCAAGTGGTGATTATTGGGATAATGACCGGTGGGTGATTATTGGGATAATGACCGGCACGAGGAGGTATTGTTGTGTCCCCAAAGAGCGAGCACCATGTGTGCCGAGCACTGATTGGCTTGTTAAAATAAATGACACGCTCTTGTATAGTGACACTCGACTCAACCACTCTTCTGAGGTAAAACGATCTAATATAACCATCAACTCATCTGACTTTAGTACAAATATAGACATCAACTGAGTGTATAGACTATATTATACATAAAAGCAACGGTCTACACTATATTTATATATATATACATACATATACAGGACACTGGTATGATATTTACAAAATAGTCTCATTTTTCTATACACGCAGACGACAATTCAGGGCGCTGAGATGACCACTATTTACACCGATTTCACAATAAAATTATAGAACCCTCATTACATAGCACACACGGATTTTTGATGCAACAGCAAAAGTGACGACTACACTTTTTTGACATTAAAGTAGTGCAGTAAAATTTCTCAAATTCACTCACACTTGAATACATAACAACAAACTTTAGATTCACATACACAGTATGGTTTTTTGTAAGTATCACTTGCTTCTGTTGTGACTAAAACATCCCCAGAACTGTGAAATATCCACAAGGCCACAGACGAAACACCAACGTCTTTTTTAAATCTTCTACCATGTAAAAAATCGAAGGCAAGTTTAAAGGCATCCAATGCAATTTTAGGACATCAAACCAAAATATTTATTTATGTATATTGTATGAGAAAATCTATCTGATATTAATTTAAATGACATTTACTTACGTTTCTTCTCACATTTTTTTCACCATTTCATACTTAAAACGTTTCAAATATCCAAAACAAGCTGCGTGAGGTGTTTCTTTATTTTTGGGTACCACCATAAAAGCTAGAACCATCCTACAATATAAAACAAGTTTTCAATAAATAACATCGCATTTTTGCCTCACAGATATCACTGTGGTAGAATTGATTTAACTTACTACGTTAAAAGAATGACAAGAAAATTGAATTTGAATAAAAGGGGGTTTTGCTGCCCTGAATTTTTTACATTGAATGCCTTTAAGAGACAACAGAAGCCGATGTCTATAGGGAGGCGAGGGTACAAGCTGACTCGACATTCGGGCCGGGGGAGTTGGTTAAGGCGGAAAAGGCTTCGGTTGTTCTCGGAGAGAGGTCGGGTAGAGTCGGGGAACTGGAGGTGCTGATTGGTCCCGACAGAGACGTCGGGGAGGCCGACACCGCCACGTCCATGCCGACACCCGAGCCGCTGTCCCGGCCGTCATCGGACAGACGGAGGGCGTTACGCCGGTGTTTGGCGCGGGCGTTCTGGAACCAAACCTACGGGATGGAGGAAAAAATATTAGATATTGTATAATATCATGAAAGTTCATCTGTGTTATTAGTTACATGTTTAAAGTTAAAACTTTAGATCCAACACAAAAAATTCTCTCACCTAGAGCTTTCGACCAGTCACTCTGGTCTTCCTCAGTAGACTGACCCAGTGGGGCTTGTCACGTGGCTTCTTTGACGTAGATATTGTATATTTGTATATATATTGTGCATGTTTATGTATATATGTATATATATATGTTGATATATTGTTACGTTTATGTGTATACTCTCTCCTGGAAGAATAGCTGCCACCCTCGGGTGGGCAGCTAAAGGAGAGTTTTTCCTCAATAAACTCAATAGAATGTTTGATACTATCACTGCAAAAGCTACACCATATTGTAAATAACTAACATATCTTCTGAATTATGAAATGTAATAATACACTTCTTAAGAAAACACAATAGATAAGCTTTAGTACTATTATGGGTTATCTACCCTTGTTATTTCATTTTTGCCATACATTGTACCAGTTACAGTTGTCTCTCTTTTTGAATTACATAGAAACATAATTACATAATTTGGCCACCATACGTTCATTCCTGCCGCAGTATTTGAAAGTGTCCTGCTTTGACATTTTCGTAGCCTCAACCAGACTTCGGGAGGCGGCTGAAAAAATAGAAATTGGCCAAATAGAGAGATAACATGCCGAGAGAGTTGGTCCGCTAGAGAGGACGGCTATCAAAGCAAAATATATTCTACAGACACAGTACTTTTCGAAAATCATAGTGAGAATTTGCCACCTCAGTTTTTTTTTTTTATTATTCCAACATGTAATCACCAGACGTGGCGACGACACACTCAAGTTTTATCAACTTAGGGGACAAATACATGACAGGACAATACTCATTTTCACCTGAGCAAGGAGAGGAAAGTCATGTAAAGTGCATTTCCCAAGGGCACAAGATCGGTGACATGTCAGGACTCGAGCCCGGGACCTCTAGCTTCCGAGTCGCGCACTCTGCCGCTACCCCACCCCACCTCACCCCACCCCACCCCACCCCACCACATGTGGTACCGATATGTGAATGTGGGGTCTGACCCATGGAATATCTACCTGTAAGACTCTCTTGGTCAGTCCTGTCTTCTGTGCGAGCTGCTGCAGGTCTTTAGAGTCCGGGTTGTGGTTGATGGCGAAGTACGACTTGAGCGTGCGCAGTTGGTGATGTTTGAACGACGTCCGGATTCTCTTGGTCTTCGTGGCGCCGCCATGGCCGTCAAGGTCAAGGTCGTTCTCATTATCACTGGACCCTACGGAGGGAAACGTTGAAGTTTAGTGGAATCATACGCTTACATCACAGGTTCAACGCAAAATGCGTGTGTATGTGTGTGTGTGTGTGTGTGTGTGTGTGTGTGTGTGTGTATGTGTGTGTGTGTGTGTGTGTATGTGTCTGTATTTGTGCATGTGTATGTGTATGTGAATTTTCAAGCAGTCAGAACCGACCAAAGACAATGCTCTAACACAACCTTTTCCTTCACAAGACATCTAAATTCTGTACGACATCAACAACTGTCCCTAGAATGCCCTCAGCTTGCTATTGTACGACATTCACACGACTAATGCCGACGGGAGCAGTCTTAGTATTTATCTATTTATTCACATATATTTATTGAGTATTGGGCAAAAAGCAAAAGCTCCTTATATAACACATTCTACTCAAAAACATACAACGAGTATAAAACACATTTACAAGATACATGCATAGTTACAAGGTGGATAAAACCAAGATAAATACAAACAAATTGGTGATCTATCAATGACGAGAATCTACCCGTACAGTAAATGAAGTTTTGGACTACATCAAAAACATTACAGTTTTGTAGGTTTGAGAGTGATGTGGACGTTCGAAGTAGTAAGGAACATAGGGAACAGTCTTAGTAAACCCATATCGCACCGGCCTCTGCCAAGACCCGGCAGATAAAGGCGTTACTTGACTCTTCTGAGAGACTTTGAGGAAACGATGGCGACATGCGGACCTTAAATACCATTTCCTTAGCGGGTGACGCCGTCCGCCCGTGAACCCTACCTCCAAATTATTGATAAAACTGATATAAGCCACGTTCGGGCCAGATTTCCCAAAAATTCGGCTCGCGCGCTTTCATCTCTCCCGCCATCGAAATCTCGCTGAGGCAGTGTGTCCTCTGAGAGGCGGTCTCCATGACTTTCCGTGAGAAGTCGGGCGGGTTGGACCGTGCGGCTGTTCGCTGGTGCCGGCCCGGGTCATTCCAGATGAAATACAGTAGCCAACCGCCCCAAAAACACTGCCAATTAGAGCCCGGGCACAATTTATGGCATCCCATAGAAGTCATGCATGATCTATCTTCAGTCTAAACCGATCCTACATCTCGAGAATACAACTCCAGCTCTGGAAATACGCATGGATTGCCCTTATCTGTTTGGTAGGACATTCTACAGATAAAAAGATTTGTGATAGAAACTGTGTATGAAGAGTTGTGAGCTCAGTGGAGGCCATGTTTTACACAACAAACTCAGACATTATGATAGTATCTCCCTCAACCAGAAAATTAAAGACATCCAATGCAATTTCAGGGCTGCAGAAGAAAAACAAAACATATTCTGAGGAAATCTGTCTACCATTGCCATTTCGTAGCACATTTTCGTCACCATTTCATACTTGAAGGTTTTGAAATAGCCCCAAAACAAGCTACATGAGTGTCTCTTTGTTTTTTTGGGAACCAATCATTAATCTAAATAGCTAGAACAGACATACTATGAAAAAACAACAGTTTTTCGTCAGCGACATCGCATTTTTGCCTCACAGATAACGGTATGCTATGGGATAGGTACATGTATAATTCGACTTACTACATTAAAAGAATGACTCGAAAATTGACTTTGAAAATTCACTTTTGCTGCCCCTGAAATTGCGTTGAATGTCTGTAGTGGTAGCAAGTTTAAGCGCAATGAACAAAAGCATTTATTTGCGATGAGCTCATATGTTTTCAGACAACAAATGAACTTAAGGCCAAAGATACTTCACTACATTCTATATATCGTGCCAAACGATGGGTTGATTTGATCATGGTTATCATTCATAAAAAAAATTGAAGGAAAAACAGCTATTGTCACAAACGGAAATTGCGTTTGAGAGCTAGATTTAACAACGTATTATGAATTTCAGCCGTTGTATTCTTTAGTTTGCTTTATTCAAAAGATCTAAGTCTACTAGTACTAGTATACATGAATTCTGTTGAACAGAACGTTTTGTTCATTTCATGTAAAAAGAACCTAGATATATAGACGTTAGATATTCATGTCAACAACGAATTCATGTAGTCTCATACTATATACTAGATAGTCTTTTGTAGAGTAGATAGGTTTTGTAAAATTGCTATACGAGTTGTCATACGTTGTATCAATACAATTACTACTACTACTACTACTACTGCTACTACTACTACTACTACTACAACTACTACTAGTACTACTACTACTACTAGTAGTACTATAGTGATTACTACTACTACTACTACTACTACTAGTACTATAGTGATTACTACTACTAGTACTACTACTACAACTACAGCTACTACTACTACGGCTACTACTGCTATTACTACTACTTCTGCTTCTGCTAACACAATTACTAAGTCTACTACTGCTACTAGCTTCTACAACATCTCAACTTTCTTTTGTCCCAACTACTATGCCAATATAGGGCTGATAGACCACACTAGACGCTGCACACAGCCACAACACCAGAGCTAGAATGCTATCATTATCTTTCGAGAAGTTAGGATGCCAGCTATGTACCTGGAACGCTGCAGTAGGAGTCAGAATCGCCTCTTTTCCTGGGGCGGCCTCGGTAGGAGACGCCGGCCGGGCTGTGGTAGTAGGGGGAGTGGGGCAGAGGTTTGGTCCCCATGGCCGCTCCGTATCTCCCGTCAGATCGCATAAACGTCTCGTAGTGATATCTGCAGTATATAGCACTGCCCTGGAAAACAAACATTGTACTCAATAACGTATACGCCTCCTTGACAGACTGGTACATTTGAATATTCCATTTTTAGATATCAAATATAAGTTGTTTATTGCAAATTCATGCCCGAGGGCTAATTGCAAACAGACATTGACAAGAAAAATGTGGTGATATAAGACTATTTTGCTAACGTGAAGTTCTACGTGTAAGATATACTTATCAAACCTACTATCTCTACTTAAATCTAATAACGTTGCTATTCTAATCTTTAATCAAAAATTCTATCAATTTTTTTTCTGAAAGTACTATTGCTACTGTATATTAATCAAAGGATTACCTCTAATGTCATATGTCAACACTCAAATTTATTGATTTATTGATCTTAAAAACAGTTGGGTAGTACCTTCAGTTTAGGATAACTAATTTCCAAGGTAGCACAACAGAACAGTTACAAAGGACATAGACATAAATCACATTAATAATATGTACAGTGTGGGACAGAATTAACATAATAATATTCAAATAATGAAACATAGAGATGATAAATAATATGAACAAAGAGTACAAGTAATCAATCATTAGAAACAAGACATGTCAACCGAAACAATTAGTCAAAATTATAAGGCATGTTCTCGCTATCACACAGTTATGCAGCGATTTCTTCATTGATTTTCTTTACTGTATTCACATAACATCATCTTAATTGATTAATTCTGTTCCTGTATGTCTGACCTTCCCTACTTGATATTTTTGTGTTATGTTGTTATTATTTTTTATGTCCAGTGGGGACGTTAGCATTAGCTAGCTATTTCGCCACTATGTGTTGAACATGTTAAAACATTTCCTACTAAACAACCACTCATCTGACATATAACTTGCTCTTCATTTGCTCTTTTTTTCATTCCCGTTGCGTAAAGTTTCAGATGTATGTGTTCTAGCATACATATATGCATTACTTTCATATCCATTTATGTACGGATCCCCTTCTTGGTTAATCTTGTCATGTTTCCATACATACGAGTAGCTATTTCATATAGTGATCAGTACTATTTCTAGTTCTACAGCTATATGGTGACAGCTAACGCTCTGCTTTGTTGTTGTCTTGCAGGTAACTTTAATTCCGCTTTTTAAAAGCAAATTGGCAGCGGAAATTTATGAAATTGTAGACCTAGGACTAGCTATGAGTATAGTCGTGTGCAGCAAAAGCTAATGAATAAATAAATGAGGAATTACAGAATATTATATACATACAGGTATAATAGTAAGAAGAAAAAAGAACGCAATATTATACAGAAATATAAAAGATATGTCGTGATGACCGAAAAAGATGGTTATATAATAATAAATTCAATAATGTTACGGGCTCAATTATGCGTCAACGGCACCCAGTGCAATACGAATATCAGGTCGGCAAAACGAAAAATATTCTAAATTGGGATATCTTTCTGATATGATATTGGCATTTAGGGTTATCATTTCATACTTCAAGCTTTAGAAATAGCCCAAAAGCAAGCTACGTGAAGCATCTCTTTATTTTTTGGTCTCACCCATAAATAACTAGAACCACACAATAAACAACAAGCAACCGTTTTCCGTCAGTGACATCGCATTTTTGCCTCACAGACATCAGTATGCTACAAGGTAGTATTGATTCAGTTTACTACATTAAAGGCATCCAATGCGATTTCAGGGCAGCAAAACTGGAAATAGCTGAGTAAGGCAATCTTTGTGATATTGACACACACTGCTTCACATTAGCACATGTACATTTGAGCCAGTATTTTATACTTTGGGCGTTTAAAACTGCAGAAACAAGCTCCAAGATGAGTCCTTTATTTTCTGGGTGGTTCCCTAAAAATCAGCCCAGGGCCCTTCCAGTAACCATTTTTCGTCAGCATTTGGGGAATCTTTGCTCCAAGAGGGTCAATATACATTGAGATAGTGTAGTTTGAACTCAGTATGTAGATAAATGACTAGAATATTTACTTTGAAAATCGGGTTTCTAAGTCATAAAAACTGCTCTGGATGCCTTTAAAATCGTGAAAATCAGAAAATTAGCTTTGAAATCCAGTTTTGCCGCCCTGAAATTGCATTGGATACCTTTAAGAAAATGTGTATTTTTTGTTATCCTTCTATCTCTTATCTTTCCGGACCTGTCGGTCGGCAGTGTTGACCTACCGGCCTGACGAATAGGTGACAAGACCGGACCTCCACCTCGTTAGGGTCAATTTGATCTGAGCCCACGTGAAATCTGTCAAGAACACTTAAACACTTCTATGGTCACTTCTACAGCCGCTTTCATGTTCCAGTTTCAAGTCCAGTCAGAAAACTATCCGTCTCCTGAACTCGGTAAACCGTTAGCCATAATATCAATTACCTCAAATTTTCCCTGGCGTCACTAGAAAGAAATCGAATTCAAAGATGTCCCTGAATTCTACCCCCTCTCCGTACCACCTACTGAGAAAACTGGCCCCACTTGTTGTATAATGGGAATATAGGATCATGTATTGTAATATCGTAAGAGCGGGCGCTTTTGTGATGCAAGTGGGCCGACACTTGCGTAAGAGGTTGAACGCGTGGCTCACTCAGTGGACTGTTATTATGAAATATAGGTGAGCACCATTGTGTCATAAACCATGGTCTGTCAGAAAACGTGCCACCCGATTTAGCACGTGCGTCATTTGTGACGATCGAACAATTCTCTGTCTGTGACTGACCACTTTTTTTCACGATCCCTGTGAGGCCAATTTAGAACCTGGCACGGCCGCTTGAGCATTTCCCCGCTGGGCTTTAAAATGGTAATAAAGCTCATTTTCCGGATATGGAAAAATTGCTCAGTAACATGTAATTTGAATGCGATTTAGTGACATTGGTAACAAGTACTGACTTGTAAAATTGCAGAGGGTAGTATGTATGCAAGGAATTCTTTTGAAATTGTGGTATTTTTGCGGAGATTAAAGCCAAATAGAACATGAATTGTGTACAACAGAGTTCTGTCAGTTCCCTTTTACGATATTTTGACTCTTTTTTTGGTTTCTCTTTCTGTCATTTTGTTCCTTTCAGTCTATCTGTCTGCCGGCATTGCCTAGCTCTTTCTGTGTGCCTGGGTGTCTGTCTCTCTTTTTGACCTCTTTGTTTATCTGTCTCTCTCTGTCTCTTTGCCGTCTCTTACTGTTTCTCTCTGTGTCTCTCTGTGTCGCTCTTTCTTTCCTCCCTCTCCCTTCGTATGTTTGCCGGCCTCTCTCTCTCTTTCTCTCTTTCTGTCCTCTCCCTTCGTATGTTTGCAGCTCTCTCTTT